GGATGTAACCCTGCCATTCTCCGGAGCACTATCTCAATTCGTTGAGGTTCTGCTTCCCAGCATATGTCGACAGTTTGGCTCAAATAAACTCACAAAAATTCTTTACAGGTTTCAATGGTTTTTTACGTTAACAGTCCTATGGGCTTTAGTCAAAGATGTAAATATCCCCACATTCCTGCCAGGAAGAGAACCTGAGAGTTTACAGTCCCGCCCTCCTCTCTCTAGGACTGGGAAGGCCGCCTGGTAGCAGCTGACAGATGTAGGCAGGTAAGTAACTGCAGCACCAGATGAAACCTCCTGTGCGGGGATCAAAACAATAGGGACCCGACAGCTCATTTCTACATCAATTCACATTTAGACTTACAAATGATATGCTCGAGTTTTAAACAAGCCACTGTATAGCACTTACAGTTGGTATTTTTTATTATATCATGTCTCAAAAGTATGGTAAACTGACTCATCAAGTAGGCCCCGGCACTAAAAGTCGGAGATCCGACTCGGAGCTTCTTAAAGTCAAGTATGTGCATAGAAGGGCTAGTCATTATGTGTGTTTTATTCTGAATGTGCTGAGGGGGGAAAGGAAGAGGAGGGAAAATATTGTAAATCTTCACAAAAGGGAGCAGCCACAGTAACCCTCCGCTTGCCCCTGGAGTTCCACTCGTCTATTTCACTGGAAACAAGAGGCCTGTATGTCCTACCTCTCGCACCAACGCTATCCAGAGCTCGGGTGACGCCAGTCCCAAGGGAGCCACAGACCAGGCCACCATGTGGCTGTGCTCACACCTGAACCTGGTCCCTAGGTCCCAAAGGACTCACAGAGAAGCTCTGCTAGAATCCAGATGTTCTTCTTCAGCTGTTCACACCAAAAAAGGACCCTTCCCACTAATGGCCAAAACTACTCACCAATAGGTTCTATACACCTTCCCCAACAGGGACAAGTCTGGTCTGGCTCTCATTACCTACCCTCAATGGATGGATGGATGATGGATGGATGGATGATAGATCGATAGATGGATGGATGGATGGATGATGGATGGATGGATGATAGATCGATAGATGGATGGATGGATGGATGATGGATGGATGGATGATAGATCGATAGATGGATGGATGGATGGATGATGGATGGATGGATGATAGATCGATAGATGGATGGATGGATGGATGATGGATGGATGGATGATAGATCGATAGATGGATGGATGGATGGATGATGGATGGATGGATGATAGATCGATAGATGGATGGATGGATGGATGATGGATGGATGGATGATAGATCGATAGATGGATGGATGGATGGATGATGGATGGATGGATGATAGATCGATAGATGGATGGATGGATGGATGATGGATGGATGGATGATAGATCGAT